GCAAAATGCAAATTTCCTTTTCTAGGTATTGCGAGGAAATTGGTTTGGCGATCATATGGACGAAGATGATACGAACAAACATAAAAAGTCAAGCTACCAACCATACATAGTAAGCATATCTTACACTACATTATCAAATGCAGAAAGACCATTACACCGCATAAACTTATATGACAAAGTAGACCAGTCATAATTAAATAGGGGTAATTAAATAGGGGTAATTAATGATCATCAACCTGCACTATGTATAATTAGACTTGCATTAGACACTCCATGTGCTATGCCAGCAAACCAGCTCTGATAGGCCGTGAGACACTCGGCTTACAAACAGTTTTGCTATCTAACGGCTCAGCTTGTGTTATGTTAGATCTGCAAACTAATGCTATCTGAAACAAATTTATCGAAGGAATTCGAACACCCCAGTATTGACCAAACAGTACATAGAAAGACTATAAAAAAAAATCAGTATAATTAATAACAAAGATGGTGAGATTATAAAAAGAAATCAATATACTGTAATTAATGGAGTTAATAAAATTATAAGAATTTACAGTAAAATTAACTGGGTTGAATAGATTATAAAAAATATTAGTATAATTAACAGAGTTGATGAAATCATAAGAAAAATCTGTATAATTAACAGGGTTGGAGAAATTATAAAAATTATAAAAAGAATTAGTATAATTAGCAGAGTTGATATGGTTATAAAAAACTAGTATAATTAAAAAAAGTTGGTATGATTATAATAAAAGTCAGTATAGTTACTAAATTAACAGAGTTAATACAATTCTAAAAACAATCAATTAAATTAACAGTGAGCAAAACTTAAAAAAAACTAATTAAGTCAATATAAACAGTTTACAGTATAATGCTCTAAAATATCTTGTAAATATATAATGCTCTAAAACATCTTGCAAATATATAAATTTACTTTATTCTCATTGCCTAAGCATTCAACTGGCTTATTAGCAGTTGAATTAGCCATTTTTATGAAGAATAAATTAAAAATTATTACTTATATATATCTCCTCCAAGACTATGGCCAATTACAACTATCTCATAGTTGTTGTATTGTGAATTATTAATTAATTTCGATATTTTATTTCATTGAAATTTAAGAGAAATCATTAGACATATTTAGTAATAGACAAATTACGATTTTTAAAAATCTTGCAGAATACGTATGTGATCTGCTGGATAGGGTAAAATTTTTTAATTTATTACGACTAATAAAAATTTATATAAAGATCATCACTGAGAATACAAATTATTTC